TTTTTTTTCCTAGTTATTAATGAATTTATATAGTGTATAATTACAATAAATTTGTCTTAAAATAAATAATGTAATTTTGAATTAAATTATCATATTCATATAATGAATGCTTTAAATTTTACAATAATAAATTGCAAGTATGACATTGAAAATCTTCTTATATTTAAAAAATAATTTTAAAAAAAAATTGGTTTTTCATAAAAATGATATTCCTGATACGCAATGTGAAAATGATGAATAAAAGTTATGATCCCTTAATGCAATGTAAATTAATTTTATGACAATAAATTCTGAGACATTATTTACTGTGTATTTTTTAGACTAAAGTAAAAAAAAAAAGAATTGATTTGATAGATCTAACAGTTTTGATATTATAAATATTTTAAGATTAAAAGGTAAGTCAAAAATTGCATATTTCATACATTAAACCCTCATTTCTTTTTAAAAATTATTTCAAAGGACTATTTTATTAGGTTAAGCATAAAATATTGAATTTGAAGTTAGATAGCAATGTCAGTCGCATAAAAAAGTCAAAAAATTGTACTTTCTATACATGAAACTTTTATAAATTTTCGAATTGTTACACTATTAAATCAGACATCTTGGTTTTATTCTCATTCAATTTAGCGTATACAAAGGTAACAATACTTCACTTGCCTAGTTAGCAATGTTAGATATGTAAATGTGAACAAATAAACTGTACTTTTATACATAAAAAATTTCTATAACATTAGTCACTCAACGATTCAAAGCAACAAAAAAAATCATAAAAATTCTAGATGGTATTTTAAGTTTATTCTCCTTTTACACCCTTATCCTATTAGAGAAGCAACATGAAATTCATTGATATCATAATATTTTTATGTTATGAGCTAGAAATCATAATCTTTTTTATACTATGCTGCTCCACTAATGTGGAATTGAAGAGTTCAGAATTTTAATTTTCAGCTAAATAAAGGCTTAAAAATGTACAAAATTAAATAAAAATCAATCAATATTGTACAGCGTCTGTGATTTTCTTTCCCTCCCTTTACAAACATCTTTTAGAAACTATGGGACAATAGCGTCACATGAAAAAATAAAATGTTAGTCAAAAGTTAGAACAAATAGCCAAAAATGGTAGCCCAATTACGAGCAACCGTTTGGGCAACTCTGAACTGAGAATTTGCCTACAGAGTAGCGGATAGAGTGGAGGTTCTGCTTAGGGTTGATCTTATTTTTCTTTCCTGTGATATAGCCATTTGTTTGACATATTTTTATTGGGTAAATAGTTCTATGAACAATTATGTCAGTTTTAAAAATATTAGCGTAAGAACAATTTACAGATACTGTCTGCCAGAAGAAAAAATATAGCATGTAATATAAAGACACCTTTTTTTTTTTCATTTTTATATTTCATTTATTTTTATTTTGGCATTTCAAAAAAATGAATTTATTTACATTTTTGAAACAAAAAATTTTAACTTCTAAAAAATATATGCAAAAGAGTTAAGTCATTTTATACAATGTAAAGAACATACCTATTTCCCAGATCAAGTCGAAACTGGTCCAAATAACTCTGCTTAGGGTTGATCTTATTTTTCTTTCTTGTGATATAGCCATTTGTTTGATATATTTTTATTGGGTAAATAGTTCTATGAACAATTATGTCAGTTTTAAAAATATTAGCGTAAGAACAATTTACAGATACTGTCTGCCAGAAGAAAAAGTATAGCATGTGATATAAAGACACCTTTTTTTTCATTTTTATAATTCATTTATTTTTATTTTGGCATTTCAAAAAAATGAATTTATTTACATTTTTAAAACAAAAAATTTTAATTTCTAAAAAATATATGCAAAAGAGTTAAGTCATTTTATACAATGTAAAGAACATACCTACTTCACAGATCAAGTCGAAACTGGTCCAAATAACTTTAACCATCTTCAGCCAAGCATAATTTATGAAAACCTTTGTGAAATTTCTCAGCTCCATCAAAAGGGGACTAGAAAAAAAAATTATTAAGTGAGGAATTGAAAGACTCTTTTTCTCATAATTAAATTTCAACACGAATTAAATTGCACGAAAATTGAATAACAAGGTGAACTTTGAATTAAATATTGATGGCAAATTAAAATTTTATCTAGGAACACCCAAAAACTTAAACAATAATAAAAATAAATGGATAGGATAATTTTTAAAATTTCACTAACTGTTACTTCTTGACCACTTTGACTCTTGTTTTATTTGAAATATCTTAAATCTTGTCAAAGGAGAATAAATGTAAACAAAAATTATATCATTAATTAAACTACACACTAATACTGAAATAAAAAAAAATTAATTATTTAATTTATTACCTGTGTACAATTTTTTTAGATCATTCTTATAGTAATTGCAAAATAGTACAAAGAATTCCCCTTTATTAATCTTTGTTTGATAAGAAATAAAGAAATTAGTAAAATATTTTAAACTTTTTCCACAGAAATTCGCAAACAAAATTTACCTAAAATTCAACAATAACATCATGCAACTTTTATAAAAAAAAATATATATATCAAAAAAATATTTAAATCGCTTACTGTTGTATTCATAACACCTATTCCATGAGTACATACAGAATTGGCTATGTGGCGAATATTTATAGTACTCAAATGCTTATTATTACTTGAGCGTTCAACAAATATCCATAAAAAATAAGAAATATAATAAACATAGAATATAAAATCTAATCACATTATAGTTAATTCAATTAAATGGTAATGAGACTTTGAAATAAACAAACATAATCTTGATAAACAAAATATATAACAAAAAATTTTATGCCACCAAAATATAAACAAATGACATAAAATAAATTTTTACCAGCAACTTCCAACAGCTTTATTTTGTTCTCAATTTCTAATTTTTTATTTTTATTTATGATCTGTACTTTACAAAACTTATTTGCATACAGTGCTAAGAATGTTAAAAAAAATATCAAGCATGTTAACCATTCCAAGCCTCTTCCTGTTCCTTTTTAACTATCATAATTTTAGACGTCAGCCAGATTTTTATAATTCCCAGATAAGTAGCTGACCTTTAAATGCTACATTTTAAGGTAATTATACATTAAATCCANTTAATAAATGCCGACCAGGTGGCCGAGTGGTCAGCATGCCTGACTGCGAAACCAATGGTTGCGGGTTCGTATCCAACTTAGTGCATGGATGTTTCTCTGAGTGGGCTATTCTCTGTTGTGTGAATGTGGCCCAACCTATAAACAGGTATCTGTGACAGTGTAGCATGGGTAATGTTGCTCTCCTCCGTGAATTAGTTTTACAGGTGCCCATTGGGTAACTTTAAATGGGCAACACTTCCGGCATCTTTCAAGGTGAAGGATGAAAGCTCAGTGCCTGTCATTAAGATTAAAAAAAAAATTACTTAATAAATTTTAAAACTTAGAATTGTTTATTAATTCATGCATTTACTTCTCTTTTTGCTTGCAAAGAAATTTTCTAAATTATAAAAAGATATTCACTAAGCATTAGGATGATTATGTTGTTTTTCGTCATTCTAAGGATATTTTAATTAGATTTTTTTTTCAGTTACTTTTTTTTGGTTGGATTGCAATAGACTACAAAAAATTTATAAAAATTATGGTAATAATGTCATTGATATTACGATAAGTTTTAAATTTTTCTTTTCAAAAATTATGTGATAAATACTGTACTCACAAAACTTGTCAATTGAATAAACATTATATTCCATAACATTCTAATGAGATTGAATTGTTTACTTAATAAAATTTTTAAAACCTAAAATTGCTCATAACTGCATGCATTTATTTTAATGAAAAATAAATAAAGGTCAATAAAGATACATAATTAAAAGAGTAAATAGCTTAAAATATTTACTCTATGAATTAATTCAAATTGCTGCAGCAAATTTGTTGAACTGAATTCTTACAAATGAAATTTAACAACTAAATATGTTCTTTTTTTATTCCATTAAATATATTTTAAATTTTAACCTTTGAAAAAGGGTGATATTATTCAACAAAAATCAAATTTATTTTCCAAGCTGTATGTGTTAATTTTTTTAACAAATTATTTAAAAATATGATTATCCATGTTTTTTTATTATTATTAAAATATCTTTTGGTATAAAGTTTATTTTATTTTTTTATACAATTTATTTACAACTACTTATTTTTTTACACAATTTCATGGCAAAAAATACTATTTAATGAATTAAGAAACATATTTAGAATTAAAATTATTAGGATTACACGTAAAGAGAAGGGTAATAACTGAAAATTTAAAAAAATAGGTATGCTCTTTTTTTAATTTATGGTAAATAGTATTTGTTTGAGTATAAGTAAGAATATATAATATAAAATAAGAATTGCCAATAATATGTACATTTTGGCTACGAACAATTGAATCAAAGATATAAACAGCTTTATTTACTTATTTGTAAATATCAAAAATGAAATAAAAAACTATATTTTTATACATAAAATAGAGTTTTATACTGTAACTGTCAATATAATTTCTACAGGTAACATTCTATAGAAATATACTTTTAAAAAAATGTGCACATGCATATCAGAAAAGAAAGTGATGTATTTTTTTCAAATCTGTATTATTTAAATTAAAGTAATGTAAGAAGAAGAAAAAAACATGGCGCTGAGACATAAGCACGGGAAAAATTGTTAAGAATTCAAACATTCCTTTCAGAAATCTAAGACTAATTACTTTTAAGCTTACAAAATTATTACAAATCAAATTTATAATAACACATGCCACCAAAACGTTTTGAGGGAGCATGCATGAGCTCATAGCAATAGGATCTGATTTTTTAGGAACTCAGTCTCGTGAAACTAGTTTAAATAAAGAAGATTGCAGATTTAATAAAAAAAAGTAAGCTGATAAAGAATTGTGGTGGCTAAAAAAAATTAAATACTTGAATGAGCAAATGTTAAATTGGTGGGTCTGTTTGTATTCCTGAGATCTTGAGGGCCTCAATTCAGAGTTTAAATCCGCTGCCGAATTCATAGTTCGTGATGTCACAAAAAGTTTAATCGGTTCAGTTGTTTTGGAATCAAAGCAAATTTGGGTGCTTCAGAGAAATGAGAGTCAACTATATTCACTAAAAAATTTAAACCGATTTTGTCTTTGAATAGTTTAGAAAGTCGCTTGATTTTAATATATTGATGAAACTTAACAGTTGAAAAAGTTCGAAGTCAAATATTCCAACTAACTGTCTATTTGATCACAACACAAAATAGAGCAAAATACAACATAGCTAATTTTAAATATGGACACAGGCGAAAATATTTATCAATGTGGTGATTGTAATAGTTTTACTACTAAAAGTTTTGCTGAAATAAGAATGCGCTCCCTTTACTGCATTGGTTAATTTCATGCTTTGCTTCAAGATATTTTATATTTATTTTTATCCTAGAGAATTATCAATCATGTTGAATTTAGTATACTAATTTTGAAGCTCTAAAATATATAGAAGTTATTAAATTTTGTTAAAAATACATCGTCAGCAAAGTTATTTAATGCTCAAATAATACTTATCATATTATTCAAAATATAAAAGTAGTTATTAAAAACCTAACCTAAAAACTAGTTAGATTTTAGAATGTAGAATAAGCAGTCGTTTTCTCCGGATTTTGTTAGAACATTAAAAGTTAAATATTTACAATTTGGTGCCCGTCTTACCTAAGTGTTTTTTTCTTCATATTCTGACAGAAAACTGGTAAATTATTTATGAGTGAGATTTTTCTAAAAATAAGAAATCAAATTATTATATGTGAATTACAAATCGAAGAAATAATAGGAGAATGTAAGAATTTATGTATAGTAAAAGATCTTAGATAAAGTGCTCAATCAAAGGGATACCTTATTGTATATGAGAACTATTTTTTGAAATGAAATTAATTTGATTACTAAAAACAAATTAAAATATTGCTATTTTTCAAATGTTCTTTTTATTTATTTTTAAATTTGAGGTAATTTTGAAAAAAAAAATAAATAAAATAAACAACCAAACAAGCATTATATTTTAAAGGAAAAAATCTTCTAAAACATGAACGAAATTGTTTTTTTTTTTTTTTTTTAAATTCAGTAAAATGCATTCCTCAGTAAAAAAAAATTTCTGTCATTCAATACCATTTACTTAAAGAGACTCTAACATTTTCTAGTAACTAAATTCCCAATTTAATCATGAGTAAATTAAATGATGAAATATTTTTTGTATGGAGCCCTGCTATTTATTTTTGGGTAAATAAGTTTTATTATGTACAATAATGTTTTAATTCATAATTTTATTTTGATGATATATGTAAAAAAAAATTTCAAGAGTAATACTATTGGGTCTTAACTTTTGAAGGATCTGGCTTTATTATGATATGTCTCAGATTTTGATAATTATAGAGTTAGATTAGCTAGTTTAAAATGGTAAATCTGGAGGCTCATCAAATCAATGACATAAGACTAGACATTTTTTTCAAATTGTTTGTATTGATTTTTTTTTATTTAAATTTTCAAATTTTTTTTTTAAAAAATAAAGAACAAATTTTATTAATTTTCTTGTTTCAATTAACTCAACAAATCATTTTAAACAATTAGTACCAATTATATACATAAATTTCTCCATTACAACATGTAAAGCAAAAACTAACGCAGCTTCTCAGAGAACAGCTGCATTCAGGCAGATTACAATGGAGCCGCCGATGAGTAACCCTTCATAATCACGTGATTTCTCCCGACCAAGGCTAACAACTCATGACGTCATTTTCGGCGATACGCAATCAGTGACGTCACCACGCCTGAAAGACGACAACAGCGGAAGCGGATAGATCGGACAGGCGCTTTCGTTTAATCCGTAGTATTTTACTATTCACCCGTAGCTCCGTAGTTTATCTCCAATTTCCGTAGCAACTACGGAAATTCCGTAGCAGTTGGAGGGTATG